TAGACGTCCATAGGAATTCAGTTCTTGTAACTGTGTCATATTACTGCTCTGTGGATGGATTTCTGTAAGGGAAGCAATGGATTAGGTGTGTTAAAAGCAAAGATGCTAACTAAGGAATATTCCTGGAATCTTGACTTGATTCAAGAAAAACAGGCCTCCTAGCTTCATCAGCAATTACCTTCAGTAAATAATTGCTTAGCTCTATTTAGATATAAATAATAGAAATATTCCCACGCTGTGTGATAAGCTAATTTTAGAGGTACACACATATTTCCTTTTGGTGAGAAACCTTCATCCCTGGTAAGCACTTGTTTCTAAAAGCAGAAAATAGAAGGAATATGTATTTTTTTAATTTCATTTTATATTCCAACCATAGTTCTCCCTCTCATTCATTCTGCATCCCCACCCCCAGTCCAACCTCCCCACCTACTCCTCCCAATGGGCGAAAGCTTCCATGAGGAGTGTACAATGTCTAACACATTAAGTTGGGGTGGGACCAAGGGCCTCTTGCCTGCATTAAGGCTGAGCATGGCATCCCACCATAGGGAATAGGCTGCAAAAAGCTAGCTCATGCACCAGGGATAGATTCTGGTCCTAATAGGAGGGGTCCCTCTAGTCCAAGCAAAAAATGCATTCTTTGGACTATCTGAAGGGATACAGCTTATGTGGCAAGATACTTGAGCAGTATAAAGTATGAAAACAGCTTTGATATTAGGAAAGTCTCTCAATCCAGCACAGAGGAGTTTAAGAAAGTTGGAAATTTGAAATAAAGGGGGATTCATTAAAAACTGAAATTGAAATTGGACCCTGTGATATCAGAATAATACCTAAAGAGCTCCCAAAAGAATTTTTCCCACTTTGGTATTGACATGATTTCCATTAAAAGGATCATTGCTATTGTTAAATAACCTTCAAATCAGAAGCAGGTCTCTATTTATAAACACAAACCACAAGTAGTTATCAAATTTTCTTCACATTATACTGACAAAACCACTGAAAGTTTAAGGTTCTTTAATCTATTTTTGGTTTACCCATCTCTGTCACCCACTGCCCTCCTCTCACTGACTTTTGCTTTCCTACAATGGCGTCTCCTCTCTTCTCATGTCCCAGATTCCCATTTCCTATTCTTTTCACCTTTCTCCTCCCTCACTTACTATCAGTCACTTCTCCTCCTGTCACAGTCCCCTTTCCATTATTCCCCTTTCTTGGTCCTTTTTCTCCTTCTTGACAACACACACACACACACACATACAAATATGCATGCATGCAAGCATGCATACACGCATACACACACACTCACAAGCACACACACATACACACATACAGCAGCATTTTAAGTTTCAGTTCCATGTATGAGGGAAGTCATACTAATTTCTCTTTGTGAGTCTGGCTTATTTTATTTCATGTAACATTGATTTCTAGTTCTGCCAATTTTTTTCTGCAACTGTCACAATTTCCTTTTTGTCCACAGCTGAAGATAATTTCATTGTGGATACCATGTATATTCTTTATGCACCAATCTCTTGATAGACACTGAGACTGTCTCTCTTTCCTAATCTTATGAATGGTACATCAAAAAGAAAATGACATGTGAAAGTGTTTCTTTAGTATGGCTTGGGGTCCTTCAAATCAGATAGTAGAACTGGGTCATTTAGTTGTTCAATTACTAGTTTCCTCAGGAAATACCATTCTGATTTCCACAATGGTTTTTTAAGTTTACATTCCTACATTCTGTGTATAAGATGTCTTTTTCCACATATCATGGCCAGCATCAGTATTTTGTCATACAAGTATTGACTGTTGTGATGTGGAAATCTAATTTTAAAACAGCAATTCTTTCTTTCTTGTAATTTCTTGATTTAAACATGGAAAACAAGGCTTTGTCCATGTTTGAACTTGATGAATTCTTCTTGACAAGTTTCCTGGGCATATTGTGTCCCCACTCTTGGATGTTAATCACCTCTCATTATACTTTCTGCAAGGATGTCAAATCAACATTTTAAGAAAAGAAAATTCTAAATTTTACAAAGGATGAGGAAAATGTTCTTGCATTTGTAATACTCTGTAATACTCCATTAACAGGATATTGCCACTAATGTACTTCATGAGAGCGTAATCATCTTGAGTGAGGAATTAAACTGTCCTTTCTTATGATTCTAAATAGTGAGTTTTAAATAATCTTAAATGAAGAATTCTGTCCAGTCTACAGTATTTTCATCTAGAATTGTCAGATGTTCTATAGATAACTTTGTGCTCTTGTGTAACATGGTGTGTTTAAATATGCAAGTTCTAGTTCTGTGTCCTGAACTCAACAGTCCTTAAGTAACAGACATAGCTTAATAACGTCATTGAGTTAATGACAATGCTGTTCATAGTTGTATAAAACTCACTTTGGCTAATAATATAACATATGAATAATTGATATCAGTGTTAGTAATTTTTCTGTCAGAGGTCTTTTTCTTAACTCAAAACAGTTTAAATTAATGCTTAATTTTACCCAACATTCTTTCATTGTAGAGTAAATTGGCATGTATTTTTAAAAACATGAGACTATTGTGAATTTTTAAAAGTGATATCAATGTTTTAGTTATATTATCATCACAAAAAAGGATTTTTCTTATTTTTTAGTCTCATTGTTGTATAGGCATTTTATGTGAGAAATGCCACAATTTTGTGGGAATACAATAGGGTTTATTATTTGAGATCCCTTGCATCTAACAAGAACACTGATTCAGAAATAAAGAGTTTATAAATTTATAAAATAATACTAAGTAAATCATGTAGCAAAATACTAAGTGTTAAGAACTATTCAAACTTCTTGGATGATGTAGACTTGGTAGAAAATCACAATTTTGTGGGATAGGTGGCATGATTAATTTCGTTGTAACAGATTAAAATCAGATATAGAAGATAATTGACTTGTCTGAGCTCATATCATAGTGATATTAGTCAAGTTTCTCCAATTGCCAAATAATACCAGTAGCACATTTACAAAAAATTAACTCATGATTTTTGGCTCCTGACTAGTCCCATGATACATAAGCTCAAAGACCTTGATACTGATAGCATAGTGCCCTTTAAATCAGAGGTCTCTAGAGTATCTTCCCCAGGTACCTGAGCATTAATTGTAGAAGGCACTGGTAGTATTAGGTCTGGAGTTCCAATTCCCAAACAGCATAAAAGTTATTCTAAGCCCTTATGGGAAAGGACATTTCTCATTTTTTGTCTGTTCTATTCGTAATAGCCCACACTGAGAGCTATTGTAGTCATGACCCCCATCTCTGAAATACTCTGCGTGATGAAGCCAAAATACTACTTTTCCAGGGATCTAGAAATTCTTAACCTAGTCTAGTTGAGAACTGAATTTAAACATTCTAGTGATAACAAAAGTTATCAGCCTAACAGCTTATTTTCCCGAGTCAGACCAGAAAACTTCCCTTCCACTTTTGTAAAGCAGCCTTGAAAGGATTTGAGTCCCTTCCACCAGAAGTGTTGACTTTAAATACAACTTTCACATACCTGGGATAATTAGAAGAGGCTACTGGGGAAAGTAGTTTGATAAACATGACAAGTGTTTTAGACAAAAGAAAGAAAAGAAGTCATAGACAAATATGTAAAATCAGAAAAAGTAGTATATATCAAAACTCTCATAAATAGGACAATTAGACAAGATCAGGTTTTCAGAATTGCCAGATAGAGAAGTATGTTCTAGTTGGTTTGATGGATGTTATTGCTTAATTATCTTTTTGAAGTATAATTAACAATTAAAATCATTTTCCATATAAATCAGTTTCGATTTTGGCAAACATATGTATTTGTCTTAAATGTAATTTATCACTTTCACTACTTAGTGTTAATTCAATACTATAAAGGTAGAGTAAGCTATTGTTGCCCCAATAAATTATATCTTGATGTTGGGGAGGAGGAGAGGGTTCAGTGAATATGACTACAATCGTTTAGTACAAAATAAGTAACTGAGTTCATGTCTCCAACATCCAAATTTAATGTGGAATATGATGGTAATGACTTGTAATGCCAGTGTTGGGGACTGACAGACTCTAGGAGCCTCTTGATCATATATCTTGGCTATGTATGTCAAGCTTTGGGTTCAGTTAAAGATCTAAGGCTGGTTAGTGTTTCTCAACCTTAGCCACAAATGAGTCACTCAGGAGTAAGAAATTCCAACTGATGAAATGTCTCAGTCAGATTTGGTTTATAGGCATTTGTGTGTATCTTTTTCTTTCTTGATTATTGATGTGAGAGAGAAAATTGTGAATGATGTCACTCTTTGACAGTGGTGCTGGGAGGCATCAGAAAGGTAGTTGAATGTAAGCCTAGGATGAAGCCAATAAGCGCCTTTCTTCTACACTTCCCACCTCTGATACTCCCTGAGTTCTTATCCTGGATTCTGGACATATGAACTATGACCAAGATGTAAAAAGCCAAACAAAGCCTTTCTTTCTCAAGATGGTTTTCATTAACTTTTAATAACAACAACAGTAACCAAACTAAGATGACCCTGTCTCAAGTGAATAAGAGAATTATAGTCACTAACATGGATATTTTTCCTATTTCTAGGTCACAAACATGAATCCATGTACTCTTTCACACATGCACGCACATACACAAGCATACATATGTGTGTGTATACACATGCATCTTAATGTAACACACAATGCTTTTATACTAAGAAATAAAATAATTTACTTACTGCTGAAGTGAATATATATATATGCACATACACACTATCACAACACTACACGCACTCATGTTGAGACTGTTGAAATGTCTGCTTTACATATCCTAGATAAGAATTTTGTGGGTTGTAGTTTGGTAGACAGAGAATGAACATAAAACTGTGTCTGGCAGGAGGTGGGAGTTTTGGGAGTTATTGAAGGTATGGGAAAAATCTGATCAAAACTTAGTTTATGATAATTAATTAATTAACCAAGAATGGAGTTCTCTCTGACCATATTTTACACTACTCCATTTCTTTCCAGGTAAACCTGTGATGATAGTGACAGAGTATATGGAGAATGGCTCCTTGGACACATTTTTAAAGGTAAGACTTGGTTTTATTTTGGCTATCTATTGCCACATATATTTTGTCAATGAGCTGAGATTAAACTGAGCAACCTTAGTAGTAAAGTTTTAAATGGATTCAGAATAAATTAGTCAGCACCATAATTTTCCACAATAAACTGATATTTGAAAGGTATATTTTTCAGAAAACATATAAATCCAATTACATGGCCCTGTAATTTTATTTAAGTAAATAAGAACTTACTTTAAATAAAAAGGAAATAGAAATGAATTTTAAAAAGAAATGAAGGGAGATAAAGAAGAAAAAAATGAAGGAGAGGTTATGCAAATACTCAAAACTATGAAATATTCTTACTTATCCTCTGAGGATTTCATACATGTAAATGATTTTTTTATCATATCTACCCCCATTGCCTTCTCTTAACATCCTTCCTTTACTACTGGACATATTCTTCTTACCAACAAGCTATGCTCCTAATTTTCAGTCTCATGTGTGTGCTTGACCGCAGCGTTCAATTAGTGTAGTTTGAAGAGAGGAGGCAAGCCACTTGCTGGTTCATGAACAAGGTGCCAGTGACAACTGCACTAAAGAGAACAGGGCTTCCTGTCCTCAGGGAGGGAAGAGGCTTTGTTAAGACCCTCTCTCATCCTTGTTAGAATACTGAATGACACCATGCTGTATGGCTTCGGGGCAGGTGGCCACACCCATAGTGAATTTGTTACTGCTGTGCCCATCCGAATCCCATGTTCAAAAGACAGCATCTCATTGCTCCACTTCTCATGCATCAACTCTTACATTCTTTTTAACCCCTTCCTTTATTGTGCTCCTTTTCCTGGATGAGGTGATAACTATGCTCATCCTTTTGATGTGTATTAATGGACAAGGAAAACTGTATCTAAAATGCCCATGCAGATAATTATTGAAGCCATCTATCTGTAGTCTATAAGCATCATAGTCTCACTAAAGGGGGGGGTCATCAGAAAAGTCAGCAATCCAAAATTATAACCAGAATAAACAGGCATCCTTGGTTTTAGGAATAACTATACAGACCTCCAGTTTTAAATACTGACAACTTGCTTTACTTGTAAAGAGTTTGCATAAAATAATGTAATATTTTCATATATGAATGACTGACAGTATGGAAGTTATAAATTCAATGTAGTGAGTGTTGCTTCTTATGAGGAAGGGTACTGTAATGAAACTGATGACAACTTAAAAGGGGCCTGTAAAGGGGTTGGTGTAGTGCTCCACTGCTAAGTAAGGTTTCTATTTCAATCTTCAACCTATACCAATGTACCAGCCTATTGCCAGTTTACTTCTCTGCATTTGCAGGGTTTCCAGTCTCCTAGAGTTGTGTCCTCACTTTATTCAAAATAATTCAAGCTATTAGTTAAGCTTTATGAGTTCATTTAACTTTATTACATTTAATGTCTTTGACAAAAACAACAGACTTCCAAAAACTGTTGATATTTTCCCATCCAGTGCTCAGTAATTATCCCTGCTCTCATCCATCCTGCAGAAACTCCTATGTTTCCTCGGGCCATTTCATGTTTACACCAATAAGTCTATTTAGATAGCTTCTTTTAAATTACCTCAATATATACTCAGTGTTAGCCAAGCTTGACACTGGACTGGAGAAACGGGCAAATTTGTCTGACGTCTGACAATAAAGAAGCTACAATGCATGGAAAGTCAACAACATGGGATTATTTTAAATGAAACACAACACACTGCTTTTATTAGTTTGTAACTTGAGGTACAACACAGCATACAAAGTTATGCATACCATGTACTTAGTACTATTAAAAAGAGTGCAGATGAAAGAAGGTATGTTGGCACATGAGTAGTCAAAGTACAACATATAGAAAAAGAAAAGAAGTAATTAAAAGTATTAGTAGTAGTATATACCACAATGCAACTATGGATAGCCCATGCTTTCTCTTTTACATGCTATTTTATAAATTTTAAATGTGGCCTTATTACTTGTATTATTAAAAAACGAATTATTTTAAAATTATCAGTAGCAACCAATCCTTAGCACTGTAAGAACACAAAATATAAACTAAGCACAACTGAGTGTGTTGGGACAAACCACTAACAGCATCACTTGGGAAATAGAAGCACATAGATCTATATGAGTTCAAGGTCAGGCAGGTCTACATAGAGAAGTAAGCAATATATTAAAATAATATTAATTATCAATTAATTAATGGTAATTTCAAATGAATATTCTCACAATTTAGGTTTCCAGGTAATTATTGATGTTATAGAGACACAAACCCTCAGAGATGTTATTAAGTCAAGACCCAAAATGTTAGCTTCTTGAATATAAGATCTAGTGATGTAATTTTTTGTGTCTTTTTTATGGCAACTTCAATAATTATTTCTTCCTCATGCTGATTAGTAATAATGAATTACATATCAATAGATTGTATGACTCTATTTAACTGTTTCATCAACAACCCATCATCAGCCTCTATTGAGTATTAGCTATGAAGGAGTAGCATTGTCAATAACGTGTTTGTTTAGCTTAAAGCTATTTGCATTTCTTCTTCTTGAATTTGTTTTCCCATTACATACAACTCCATATAGGAAATATATTATGCCTTTGCCTTAAAGATTTATTTCTATACAACTAAATTAAATCATGTTGGGACATGTTAAAATTTATGTTATACAACTATACTGAAACGTGTTGGGGACATTATTTCCCAACATGTTTTAACATAGTGGTATAATTTCTGTACATTTTAGTCAACAGCCAAGTTCAGAAGATAATTAAAACATAATTTTTGTCTTTTACTCATAGTAGTACTGTCTCCTCTCTCATTCTTCTTCCACTGGAACCCTGTTTCTGGAGAGCCTCTTTTTGCCTATGTGAATTCCTATGTGTGTTTGTGCTGCATGAGAATTCTGAAGGTCTTCAAAGATTTTCCTGGTTTGACCTGATCAACATAATCAGTTAAATTTGTGGTTTCTAATGCTTTCCAACCTCCTTGATTGGAAATTGCATTCACATTCTAAAAGGTGCTAATAGTAGTTTGAAAAATGAAAAAAGGCTTTTTCTAAATTTTCCTCCTGTGAATCGTAAGGTTGCACTGTCTTTGCAGAAAAACGACGGGCAGTTCACTGTGATTCAGCTTGTTGGCATGCTGAGAGGCATCGCTGCAGGAATGAAGTACCTTTCTGACATGGGCTACGTGCACAGAGACCTTGCTGCTAGAAACATCTTAATCAACAGTAACCTTGTGTGTAAAGTGTCTGACTTTGGACTTTCTAGGATACTGGAAGATGATCCTGAGGCAGCCTACACCACAAGGGTAAGATCTAACAGAATGCATTTCTGACACACTAGACTAGAGGCATTTAATCTTTAAAGATGTTAAAAGAATAGCAAAAAGGGCATTCCTCCAATAAAGCCAAGTGGAGACTGAGAAAACATGAGAGAAAAAGTAGAAAATTCAACTCTATACATTTTAGTACCAGCAAATTCAAATACTAAACTTAGATAACAAAAATATTTACTGTCTTACTCTCAGTAATTTATTTATTTTTCTTAAGGATACTGTGCTGGCTAGATTTATGTCAACTTAACACAAGCTAGAGTCACTGGAGTGGAAAGAGTCTCAATTGAGAAAATGCCAACATAAGAATGGACTTCAGGCATGCTGTATGACATTTTTTAAACTATTGATCCTTGTGGGACACACAGACAATTATTTGTAGGATCATCCCTGGGCTGGTGGTCCTGGGTTCTAGAGAAAGCAGGCTGACTAACACGCAAGAAGATGGCCAGTACGAAGTAACCTTCCATCAACTCTGCATCCACTCCTATCTCCAGGATCCTTCACTGTTTGAGTTCCTGTTCTGATTTCCTTCAATGATGCACAGTGATATGTAAGCTCAAGTCAAACAAACCCTTTTCTCCCCCCAAGTTACTATGGTCATGGTGTTTTATCACAGCAATCGTAACCCTAACTAGAAACAGAAATTCTGAGTTCCTAAAGAATTCAGTGTGTGTGTGTGTGTGTGTGTGTGTGTGTGTGTGTGTGTGTTTTATAACATATTTAAAAAATACAAGTAGGATTGGTGCTATGGAAAGTCTATTGCTACTATGATGAGTGGGTGACTTAGGTAAATGACAAGCAGGTTTTCCAAGGCCCTTTGCCACTGCATTATGCTACAGCACCAGCTGAAAAGCCAGAAACCCTAATACTTTCAAGGCTTCCTTCCCTAAATAGGGTATGGGAGCAGATTGTTGAAAATGTCTGTAATGAGAACTAATCAGGTAAGTGAGCCTCAAATTTAGTGACACACACATTGTTCCAATAAACAGGAGGACAATTCAGAGATACAACTCAGCAGAATCAATGAAGTATACTTTGGAAAAGACAATTTAATCACATGTCGAAGAACAAAACAATTCTCCTCCAATCCCAACATTCACGGATACATAGACAATTGGATTGCTGGGAACCACGAGTTGAAGGCCAGACTGAGCTACAGAACAATATTCTGTTAGAAAGAAACAAAGCAGTAAAAATTTTGCTATGGCCCTGAAGAGATGGCTTCACTGTTAAGAGCACACACCATTCTTGTAAAGAACTTGATTCAGGTTCCTAGCAGTGTAGCAAGCAGCTTAATCAACCTATAACTCTAGCTCAGGAGATGCAGGAGCCTCTGTACACACCTGTCCTCACGTGAGCCTCCCCCACATATATACATAATTACAATAAAAGTAAGTCTAAATATAAATGAAAATGAAGCAAAATAAAACAGGCAGATTACAACTCTGCGATGCAATGTTTTATATATATTTATTAGGCAAAATAGTTTCCAAAAACTTTCCAGCTATATTATGGTATGTGTGCATCAGTTGCCATGTGTATAAAAAAGATTAAGCCTAAATTTTATCCCTTCCCAAATTTCAAATCATGTCGTGAAACTCAATTTCTTATATGTTGTTAAGTTTCCTTTTCCATGGAAATCTCTCTCTCATATATTAATTGCTTCTTTATTCTTTTCTACAAAATAGGTGGGTGTTAAATAGTTTTATTAACAAGAAATATCTGTCTCTCAGTATATATTAGCAAGCACATGGAAAAATAACTGTAAAATGTGATTTTTTTTCTGAGTACCTCACAAACTTTAGATTAGTTCAGTTAAACAATAGCATTTCTTAGGTTCAACATACTAACTGAACAAGCACAAAAGTATGCTATTAAGCTAGGAGGGGGCGAGGAATCAAGCCTTCCAGAAATGAAACAATGTTGCAGGAAAGAAATCTTTTAGTTTTCTGCACGTAGAATTTTCCTTCCTGTCTTTTAAACTGTTAAACATCCCAGGGTTTCATTTAACAGTCTAGACATTCCACTTATAATTCTGTACTTTAAAAAAATGCATGCAGAGTATTTGAGTTGTACACCTTACTGATGTGCCAGGTGCCTCCCTCCCCTAATCACCGTTGCCATCCTGAGCACTATAATTGAGATGTAGGTCCTGTATGTCTTCCAAGAGTCTAACAGAATTTATAGCAGAAACCTTCCCGACAGCCAATTAGCTGTTAGTCTACAAGTGCTCATGGGCTGGTGATGTGAAAGAGACTGCACACTGTCAAACAGATTTACTTAAAAATGTTACATCTCTTTCTAGATCTTCCCAAATAAGTTGCTGTATCCCTAGATACCCTTGAAGCATGCTAGATATACATACATACATACATACATACATACATACATACATACATATCCATGTGTTTTCAATTTTAGGGAGGCAAAATTCCAATCAGATGGACTGCACCAGAAGCAATAGCTTTTCGAAAGTTCACCTCTGCTAGTGATGTGTGGAGCTATGGAATCGTAATGTGGGAAGTTGTGTCTTATGGAGAAAGACCCTACTGGGAGATGACCAATCAGGATGTAAGTACAGAGATACTCTTTGTTTTTAAGTCCAGAATGAAATGCTTTGTTCTCTGGGTCCAGAATCTTACAATGTTTTAAAATTGTGAAAATAACAGTTACTTGGAAAATATAAAACACTTTTTTTAACTTTTTGGTACATATTTTGTAATGGAAATAATACTTATGCAAAAGCAAAAAATGAGTTGGAGTAAAGTAACATAATTAAATGTAGGTTTAGTTATTCTCATAGTGTTGTTCCAATCTGTTTACATCAGTATTGTTCTCAAAGATGATGAAAAAGGAGCAAACATCTAATGAAAAAATGCTTATATTTCACCTTTGAAATATAAGATGATTTGTATTCCATTTATAAATTGGTAGATATGAATATTCTTTTAACAATAAAAACTTAATTAATGTTAGAATTATATAATTCTTAGAGGAAACGGAACAATTATAGTATTTACTTTCCAAATTTAATTGTTTATGTTATGATGCCTAGGACAGAACTGCAGTCTTTGCTTTGGTCATCTTTAATCATTAATATCCTCTTTGAGTCTGGATCATATTAAGATTTGATATTTTTTCCTTCTGATATTATATAAAAAGTAGCTCAGATGTGTTGAATACCCATAGTATACTCTTTACCCTTTACCAAGAAAACAGTTCATTATTCCTTTGTAAATCAAGTGTATTGACCAATCTTAACTCAGTAATGTACTTACTTGAAATATTTTTTTCTTTCTCCAATTGTTTCTTATATCTTTACTCTTTAGGAACTGCTTTCCCTGTGCATATCCTAGGGTTTTCTTAGGCAGATTCTATGAGTTTCCTACTCACTCTGTTTACAATGACAATCCCAATTAACTCTGATTTTCAAAGTTCAACCAAAACTACTTCTCAGGTGCATTTCAAGTTACTTGCCCCAACTGTGGGCCATGGCAACCCAAGTTATACAAATAATTAATAGTCAGACTTTGTCAAACAGTTTTTCTTTTCCTCTACCAAAATCTATATTTGGATTGGTCAGTATTTGTCTAAGTAGACAAACAGAAAATTGGAGACAGTTTTGATTTTTAATGATGAATTTGTACATTCTACAAAGACACTTGATAGGGTTTTCTGGAAAGGCCAAAGAGGACAATGAGTCTAGGTGAGTTCCTAAAGCTCCTTTCTCTTGCTGCCCATATCCCTCCTTGTAAACCCTAACTTCACCATGTGTGAGTTTCCCTTACAAAGGAAAGCACCGTTTTGCTTGAGGCACTCCCTAAATTTACCTCTCAGAATTTTTCTCAAATAGCATCAGCAGATTACTTTCAAGAGTCTCCATCTCCCCTCTGTAGTTACCTATAAGTGTTATACTTAGTCTATTTTGTGCCCAACTCACTTGGCTTACAAAAACTAGTACTGACTTACAGTACTCTACAACTCTAGGATCAGAGGATATATTGTCTTCAAAGTTGAGCATTAAGGGATGGAATTATATAAAAATGTCACTCAATTTCTGAAATATGTATATGTGTCTATACATGAAATTTATATCTTAAACATTTTTAAGATTGTATTTACATATGTATACATACATAAATAGCACATTAAAGAGACATCATTATGTCTTTTATAGTGGAGAACTGGGGCCTAGAGAAGCTTAGTGATTTTCATAGTCACACACACAAAACTAACATTTATAGTGGACTTATCAACCCATTTCTTATGTATTTAAAATATATGATTTATAGCAATTTCTATGATTTATAGCAATTGAATTATTATGTACTTCTGCTTTTTATGTCCCAAACATATCAGTCTTCTAAATGAGTGAGTCATGAAATGTTCAATTCAATAGACAGTGATTAACCTATATTGAACAAAGTTAGACTAAGCCTTGTTTTCTAGCTTCTTTTTCATGTAAATACCAGATACTTGCATCACTTTTGTAACACCAAAGTATTGCTTTTTATCAAGCTTCATTTTTTTCTGTTGTCACAAATCCATCAAATGACAATCCATAGCATTTATCTATTTCGTTCAGTAGAAATATGATTTCCTCTTTTGTCAGACTCCGGAGCCAGTTTCTGCCCAATCCTGGGATATTTTGAGCTCTCATCAATTAGTCTTTCCTAACTATGCCATGAGTTGTTCTATTAATACATATTAGGTATTGGCAATTATATCAGTTACAGTTAAAATTGTAAAATGTTACAGTTAAAAATGTAGCAAGGGACCTCAAAGATCAAACAAGAAGACTCTGATGGTACATGAATGTTGTCTGGGTCTTCTTTTGACATTATCTAGTTTGTCTTTAGTCCAGAGACAAGAAGTCTGTACTAGTACAGTTTCACTTTTCTCCATAAGTCTCTCATCTCCCATGTAAGCCCAACAGCTGATATTATTTGATGAATTCACTAGATTTTTGTTTGTTTGTTTTATTTTTGTTCTGTTTTGTTTTTTGTTTGTTTTGTTTTCGATGTGACCCAAGCTAGAATCGCCTGAAGACAGGGAGCAACACCATTTAAAATTTTTTTTAAGATTTGTCTTTAGTCTGGACTATTATATACAGCATGAGATAGGACCTCAGCAGATGCCTCCTCCGGCAGATGACAGACAGACAGAAGGTGAGAAACAGAGAGAGACCTACAGGTAGAACTTATGTGAAAGGTCAGAGGCACTGTTCCAGGATCCAAAGGGTCAGGGGCAGATCTGCCTGTATTAGTACAAGATTGTGTAGAGCCTTCTCCTAATTTGTAATTGATATGGGTGGGTACAGCTGATTCTGGGTGGTGGCAGCCCCAGGAAGGTGGTCCTGAAGTGTGCTAAAAACAGGCTGAGTAAACCATTAGGAGTAAGCAAATAAGGAACATTCTTCTATGGCTACTTAAGTCCCTGACTTCACATTCCTGTCTTGAGTTCCTGTTCTGATATCCCTCAGTAATGGATTATAGACTTTAATTTGAATTGGAGTCTTTTCTCTCAAAGCTCCTTTTGGTAATTCTGTGTCATCATAACTGTAGAAACCTGCAACATTGCCAAATACCCGAAGTATGAAAACAAACTACATCACACCTTAATTGGCAACTTTTGTGCTGAGGCCCAGCTGGCTAATCACACAGTCAAGGAGTAAATCCATAACTGTGCATTGTGTGTGTGTGGACACTATACTTGTATGGGGAAAGACATAGGCACAAGAAGTTCAAGGATTTAAGGAATATCTCTTAACCATTCTCAACTCCCTGTTGTGATCGATATCTATCAGTATATCATACACTAATTCTTCATCTATCCTTTTGTCTTCTAATTCTCTTTGTTTGGTGGTTAATAACTTACTTGAAATTGTTACATCATCTGATATTTTTGTCACTAACTACTGTCTTAGTTTTTTTAAATTATTAATTTTTATTTCCTTTCAGCTTATTTTTCTAATTGGATTCACTTTGGGGTTTTCATCCTTTTCTAGACAATGTCTCAACAAAATTAAAGAGTAAAAATATCAATGTTGCATATTGAAGTATAATATAAGAAGAAAAAACTAATAGTTTTGGCCAGTTTTCTAATCTATATGAAGCTTACATCAAATCTTTCTGGAATGTACCCTCTGGTACAATGTAGAGTTCATGTTGTGTTATTTATTGAGCTTTTAGTCATCAGCGACATTTCATTTCTGAGTACTACACTAAGTATGTTATCCCTCAGATTCTAACTAAATTTGATATAAACAACAAAGCAGACTAAACAAATTCAATAACTACTGACTGTCTTTGACAAAAAAAAATCAATCTCACAGAATGAAATTATACTGCTGATTTCATGGTTTTAAAAGTTATATATACATTCTTTATAAGATCTGATCCTAAAATGGCTTTTGTTATCATGAGATGTAACCTTATCATTCATAGAGCATACTCTAAATCTCACAGAGGAGACCTTGTTCTATGTCAGGGAGACAGAATTCAATAAACTTCTTTTGAATCAGTATTGGTTCTGCCATTACATAGAAAAATAGTCACAATAAACCATAAAAATAATCATGAATGACTCAAATAATTTTGAGGAACATGATACCATGAACTCTGAAACGTTGGTAATATCCTGTAGTCAGTAGAAGCTCCTTTGTTAGTAGAAAACATTTTAAATGTCAACAATATTCATGACACAAAATAAAAAACAAATTTAATATTTTATTACATAACATCTTTATATTTAGAGATAGTGTCATTCTGTGGTATTTATTGATGAATATGTGAATACATATATTCTACTATGTATATAAATTCAAAAATGTTTTTGTCATAATATTAATCTGGTTCTCACTCTCCTGTGTGATTTATTTTGTCTTTTCTTAGGCAGTTCATTTTCTATTCATTTTATTATGAATTCTGTAAGTGGTAATCAAATTGATTTATTACTACATTTGATGTGTTGGGAGTTCCTTAAGAGGTCACAGGCTTTAAAGTACATCAACCTATTTTGTTATGGGTACACAACTATTACCAATCCTATACTTCTTTCAATTTTTGACATGAATATTTTGTGTGAATACATATGCATATATGTGATACAATAGATTCTATAAATCACAATAAATAACTTGCTGTCTTAGTGCATTCTGTATTGTCATAGCAGAATATTTAATGTAAGATAGCATATGCTTTAGTTACTTTTCTATTGTTGTTATAAAACGCCATGACCAGGACAACTTATAAATGACAGCATTTAATTGACCTTCTAATTTCATAGCATTAAGTGTTCCTCCTGGCTGAGCAGCATGGCAGCAATGAGTAAATACATTGGTGAGAGCAGCAGCTGACACCTTACATCTCAAACTGCAAATAGGAATCAAAAACACACGGTGTAAATGGCATGAGTCTTTGAAGCCTTAAAGCCCTTCTTAGATGCCCAGTGACACAGTCTCCTCTAAAATCAAAAAGAAAACTACATACTTCCAATATACTCCATCAGTGAATAGACATTGCCAATCAAAAAGGAATGAATGGGGACATAGGAAAGGAAATAGCCCATCAGAGCAGGACCAAAACATAGCAGAACAATCTCCAAATCCTGTAGCTCCATATACACTGTCAAAGCATTAGGTGACTCTACCTTTGCAATTTTACTGCCCATGAAATGCATCTCTCTGTCTGTTTCCACTCTCTGTGTCAGATTTCCTTGTTAAGATGTCTAGTGCCTCTGGCATGTCCAACATCTTGGGCTCTCCAGTGAAATCCAGGATTCATTTTTGCAGCTTTATGCTATATCCTGTAGAGCCTTTAGGCCTCTCTGAACATTCATGCTGGGACTGCCCTACCACACATTGCCTGGCCCCAGTGCTCTCTGAGGAAGATTCTTTTACTTGTGTATCTTTCATGACTCAGTGTCCAGAACTATGTGAACAGCACTATCAACTTTGGCTACAAATTTGGGGTGGGTACCAGCCTCCTTGAATCACACTGACAGAAGCTTTGACTAGTTTTATAGGAGCAGAAAATTCTTTATGCCAGTTTGCTTCCTCTGGTTGGAGCTTAGTTAAGTAGAGTTTTTGTCCTGATGGCCCCCTTCCCTGCTTTCCAATTTAGATCATGCCTCTTAATCTCCTTATCTCTTTTACCATAAGTGTCAACTCTAACAGAAAATTTCCTGGTGCTCTTTTCCTCTTCAAGCTGTGCATTTTGAATTTCTTCTTGCCTTATTTGTTATTTTTCATTGTAATCCTGCATTAGCATGATAATCAGTCACATGACATAGTCAACTTCTTAGGGTCTTACGAAATGTCCATATCTTTAAAAATTTAGCCTTGCCCATGGGCAAGGTCTGAAGGAAAGGGCATAAATTTCCCATATTATTTGTCAAACTATCACAATGGTCTCTAAACCATTTTCTAATTTCGTTGCCCTCTAACCTTCATATTCCACATAGTTCTCAACACTAACGTCTTTCTGGATCCTATGAAGACATCCCATTACCGCCCTTTAGAGGAATCAACCACTTTTCTAGTCCAAATTACCAGTCTTCCACATTCCTCAGGAACAATATGATCAGGCCTGTCATACAATAGCCCACTTCCTGGTTCAGAATTCTATACCTGTTACATTTCAATTGTTTTGATAAAGTACCATGACCAAGGCTTTTCTTATAAAATAACTAACTTAATTGTACTTACAGTTCCAGAGGGTGAGACTTTATGATGGCAAAGAAAAAGTATGTTGGCAAGTATAACGGTTTGGCCTGTGATGGTGGCCACACCATTTTGGGCGTGGTTTCAGGCAGATAGGAAGGAAGCAGAAAGAGGGAAACTTGAGTCATGGCTTTCCTTACCTCAGACTGCTTGATGGGTCAGCCAGTGCAGTGCAGTCGGAAGTGCAGAGAAAATCTGCCATGGTTCTTTGCATTTTTGTCTGTGTAATTGTTCCCCAATAAACAACCATTTATTGTTTGTCTTGGGTCTAGTATATAATTATACCCTCGCCTACAAACAGGTGGCTGGACTAGAGGTTGAGAGCTCATATCTTGATCTATAAGCAGGAAGCAGAGATCACATTGGCAATGGCATGAATCATGTGAAACCTCAAAGGATGCTCCGTGGGACACATCTCCTTTAACAAAACCCACCCCGACTCCAGTTCTTCCCAAATCGTTCCTCAAACTGGGGACTCAATATTACAGCATATAAACCTACAAGGGCATTATCATTCAAACCACTGCAGGTTTAGAAAACAAAGGTAGGTTTATTGAGTTCAAGATTCTAGAGGCTGAGATGTCCAAAAAGCATGCTGCCAGCTCATCTGGCACACAACCTCCTGGATCCAGCAAAGAATAGTAGAGAAACAGGGAAAACTGGAAAATAACCCAGGGCAATTAGAACTGCATTAGTCTTTGTTAGAGATAAAATACTTTGACATAGTTTCCACTAGGTTCCATCTCCTATAGATTCACCTAGCAAACTGTTACAGTGTAGAGCTCCCACCACATGAGCCTCTAGAACAAAAAGCACATTGGCAAAACAATTGTGTTTACATTGAACAAAATGAATTAATTTAATTTGTCCAGTTCACTATTATATATAAAGGTTATCAGTGGAAAAATATTTTAATTTAAATTTTGCATGCTTTCTTTTAAGAATTTATACATAAGTAGTATATTTATGTCATTTACACCTTTTCCTTTTATCCCTCCAGCAGCTCCTATGTGCCACATACTCATTTTTAAATCTATGTCTCTTCTATAATTATCATTTCTATGTGTGTGTACGAGCTGAAGATAAATAGAATTAATTGAAGACTTTGAAAGAATAGCATGCTGCAAGTTAGATTAACTTTAATTAAAATTTTACTGAATTTATAAAATTTCATAATTTGAACTACTTAGGTCACTTCTCTCAAGGATTCCAATTATTACTCAGACACTTTCACAATCCTTGAGTATGTATATTTTTCTGTCTGCACTTTGTGCTTCTTAGAATATTTTTTACTATTGTATTTGGTAGATAGAAACTAGAATACTTAAGTTGTGATCAAGTGCCTATCATCTTAGGATTTATACCTTCAAACTCCCTTTGCACCAGTTGGATTCCTGTACATTGTCAAATCACCACAAATAAAAAAATTTCCAGGTTAAACCCAACAACATTTACCTCCTTCATAAATTTGTTTACTTCAAGATAACAGAAATTAACTTTCAATGCAATGAGCCTGAAAATGATCAGTCTTTTATATCATTTCCCTTATATTTCTGAGTCATATATGCTTTGTAAGTGTACAGTTTTCTCTTCCTACCTGCCACTGCATGTGATCACCTGTCATCCTCTTTGTTGCAAAGGGATTGCCTTACATTCAATCCCTGAAGATTTTTTTTGTAAAATTCCTTTGTTAACTTTATTCTATTGCTTGTTAAACAAAATATAAATTATTTGGGGGCTAAAAGTAATTTGTAGTATTTTTGTGACATACATTCTTTAGCAATGTTGTGGGATATTTTTCTTAAATGAATTAAAAGGCCCTTATATCGCTTAGCAATACAAAAAACCATTTCTTGTATTTAAATATTTTTTTCCAATTTTTTTATTTTTTTTTATTTTTTATTTTTTTTCCAGTTTAAATTTAGATAAGAAACGAGGTTGCTTCACAAGTCAGTTCCAGGTCCCTCTCCCATTCCCTCCTTATTTTGATGTCAGCAACAATATTGTTTTTAATCCCCACAAATGGACTGATGATCATACATGCATTTAAAATAAATATTCATAATGCCTGTGCCAGTAGATACTAATTTCAAATTCCTGACAGAAATACAAAGATAATAAACAGTCAGACCTTGATATTATTAAATCATACATGAGACAGTTATGCTAATTTAGCCTTTGACTTATCCATCATTTACCATTCAAAAGTCTCTTTTAAAATGAAATTACCATTCTAACACTTTGAAAATGTGACTGTATATACTTTTATGAAAAAAAGATATTATGTTTTCATAGAAAATATACAAGAAAAAATGATCTATTTTGTTGGCAATTAGGTTCATAAAATATTCTCCACCTGGGTTAGAGATTAACAGCATCACCATTTAGGTTTTTGCTTTGTTTTTGTTTTTGTTGTATGAGACAAGGTCTCTGTACATAGACCTGGCTATGATGAAAGTCACTATGTAGACCAGGCTGACCTCCAACTCACAGAGATTCACTTGCTCTGCCTCCATAATGTTGGGATTAAAGGTATGTACCCTATTAACAGCTTATCATTTACTTTTTAACATGAGAAAAAGACCTAATTTTTAAATGTTGTAAGAGTACATTTTTTCCTATTGTCTTGCTTTTCAGTATATAAAGGTAGATGAGAGTTAGAAAGTTTCTGACTCCTCTGTGTTGTATCAGTGGCATTGTGGACTAGCTCTGCTTTGCTTTTGCAGGTGATCAAAGCAGTGGAAGAAGGTTACCGCCTGCCAAGCCCCATGGATTGTCCCGCTGCTCTCTATCAATTAATGCTGGATTGCTGGCAGAAAGATAGAAACAGCAGGCCCAAGTTCGATGAAATAGTCAACATGCTGGACAAGCTGATACGAAACCCAAGTAGTTTGAAGACACTGGTTAATGCATCTAGCAGGTACAAGGCCAGACTTGTGTAATTTTCCTGAGGTTATCTGATCAGGTTGATACAATAAATGCTTTATCAGTTCAGTCATTTATGTATTACTACATGAATCTGTATGACAGTTTATTTAACTATAATCTTTCTTAATGTTACCCTCTTGAAATAAAAACATGTAGGTAATTTATCCTTAAAACCATCTTTGCTTATGCTAGTTTTGTAACATGTTATTGTCAAAACAATACATGCACAATACACTGAAATAGCATTAAAAAACAATATCCAAATGTGTTTAGAGCATAGGTTCAGGTAGAGATATGAGACATAAGAGCCTAAGAAAGCACTGATGTTTCTAAACCAGATATCAAACACTGATTACACATGAATTCTTTAAAATAAATTTCAATTATTAACATATGATTACATTGCAGCATTCAGTTTGTGAACACTGATATCTGCATGGACTCTTTTGCCTTTATCTGGTTTTACAGAGATATTCGGTTGATCATTTAGCATTCAATTTGAAGATTAGAACTGATAAATGAATAACTATGTAGAAAAATGTGTACAAGCCAATAATCATATTTTCTAGTTTTAAGAATTACAATAAGAATACTTTGAAATAATATTAGATATTTCCAAATTATTTCTCTCTTTATCAGAAAAATTATTGAAATGTTCCCACTAATAAAAATCAAATTGGTTTCAAATTAGAAAATTTGCTAGATTATTACTTTCAGTATATTTAATGTCTGTCTTTTTTATTTATTTATTTTTACAAAAAAAGGAAAACATGCTAGTAGCTGAATTGACTGCTTATTAAAATGAACTAAATGAAGCTGTTTGCTTAGGATGAAGTTGCGTAAATTGTCTGATGCAACATGTTTACTAAGTTATTTTAACATAAGTTGGGAATGAGCCCCCAAATTCTGTTGCCGTATTTTGAACTTTTTAAGCTAACAGCTAGAGACTATATCTTCTTGACATATAATGCATATGTTTTTTTCCTAAATATCTGTTTTTAATATTGTATATTATTGAGACTTTCTCTAGTCTACTTTTTTGAATGATGTTGAGGTAACTGTTACAAATCACCTAAAGAAAGTTAACAATAAAAAAATGTTCCTAGTATTCTAAATCATACTGATTTTTCTTAATAATCTTTACTTCTTTTCTTATATATAGTATATAGGATTTTCTTATATATGATTTATAGAGTTCAGCATATTAGACTTATACATATATTAAGCATTTAGACTATCAAACTTTAAACAGTCACATAAAAACAATAATTGTGCAAGGAGTTTGCTAATGGCTCATTAACTGCTATCAGTTATATGACAAAATTTGATAGCTTTGGTAACTATGTAAATAATATTTGAAATTCTCTTAGTAACTTATTGTTTTCACTTAATGATCTTATTTTCTAAACTCTATTAGACTCTTCCAAAATTATGATGATTCCTTAATTTAATATTAGTCTACTATTCATCTGTTATTTTCTTCATTTCTATATTTTCATAATTATAAAACTTTAATTATAATATAAAATTAATATCCATAGTTCAGTAAACTTTGTCATTCAACAAATATTCACCATCTCAGACTGTGTTATGCTGTGAGCTAAAAGCTGAAGACACCCAGGTTCAATCCAGCAGATCTGTACATTATCCCTTTATGGAGTCAAGACACCAGAGGAAGAGAGCGAAAAATTAAAATCATTGTCTTCAGTATTTTTTATCTTAGTGATTCTAGCATGTGTAAGATGGTATTTCAGAGTCATTTTGATTTGCATTTCCCTACTGATTAAGGATGTTGAACACTTCCTTAAACGTCTTTCACTTGAGAATCTTCTGGTGAAAATTCTGTTTAGCTCTGTACCCCATTTTCCAATTGGCTTATTTTATATTTTGATATCTAATTTCTTGAGTTTTTTTATGTATCTTAGAGATCAGCCATCTGTCAGAAATGGGATTGGTGAAGATCTTTTCCCATTCTGCAGGCTTCCATTTTGTGTTATTGACACTGTTCTTTGCTTTATAGAAGCTTTTCAGTTTCAGGAGGTCCCATTTATTGATTGTTGCTTTCAGTGTCTGTGCTACTTGTGTTATATTTAAGAAGTGGTTTCCTGTGCCAATGTATTCCAGGTTACTTCCCACTTTATCTTCTAATGTTGGTTTAGTAAAATAGTAGTTTTTAGTTCTTCTCTAAGATCCATGACTTCATTAACCCTGAATAATTGGGGTAGGCTTCCAGTACCAGGGATTATTTCCCTTTTGTTGAACAGCCTTAAATCCAAGTGGAGATCTGTTGTTTACCACCATGATATGAATACCATTACTGCATCCTTAGTGAGCATGATTACACAATGCTGGACATTGCTGTAATCCACTGGCATCATAGGTTAGTAGGGTTATTGACTGCTTCCTTCTCTAGGATGTTTCCCTGTTATGATGAGACTTTCAGGTCAGATCATGAGTGGATCCTTCATGTTCCATGTCAGAAGTGCATGGTAACTTTAGCAACAGGGATTTACCATGAAGGTTTATTTAATTAAGTAGGTGACAAGTGGAAGAGACCTAGTCAAATATAAAATATCTTTTAAGTTGTATGGCTAATATGTACTATGAATGAGAGGAAATGAGAACAAGGAAGCGTTGGACTATATGTTTCAAATACTGTAGTTGGAACCACTTGACATATTAGTAAAGAAAATGAGGAATTTTATTGTGGCCAATGTTGGGTTGGTATTTGTATTAGAAACATGGAAATTTGATATACAGTTCTTTTACTTCTTGGGTTAACATTATCCCCAGATATTTGATACTGTTTATGGCTATTGTGAAGGGTGATATTTCTCTGATTTCTTTCTCATCCAATTTATCATCTATATATAATAGGGCTACTGATTTTTTAGTTAACCTTGTATCCTGCCACTTTGCTCAAGGTATTTATCAGCTCTAGGAGTTCCCTTGCAGAGTATTTCATGTCGCTTATGTAAACTATTATATCATCTGCAAATAGTGAAAGTTTGACTACTCTTCCTATATGTATCTGCTTGATCTCCTTTTCTTGTCTTACTGCTCTAGCTAGAACTGCAAGTACAATATTGACGATATATGGAGAGAATGCAAGCCTTGTCTTGTTCCTGATTTTAGGGGAATTGTGTTGAGTTTCTCTCCATTTAGTTTGATGTTAGCTATTGGTTTACTATATATTGCTTTTATTATGTTCAGGTATGTTCCTGTTATCCCTAATCTCTCTAGGACCTTTATCATGAAGGACTGTTGGATTCTGTCAAAACCTTTTTCAGCATCTAGTGAGATGATCATGTGGTTTTTCCTTTGCAGTTTGTTTATATGGTGGATTACATTGATAGATTGTCCTAAGTTGAACCTTTCCTCCATCCCTGGGATGAAGCCTACTTGATCATGGTGTGTAGAGAGAAGCCTTCCCACCAGCCTGGTTCCAAAGTCACATCAGTCCCAAATAAACACACAGGAGGCTATATTAATTATGAAGCTGTTGGCCTTGCTTGTTTCTTACTGGCTAGCTCTGACATAAGCATTTATCCCATAATTGTTATTCTAAGTATTTCTCTTACCTGAGCAAAGTTCTAGACATCTTATTTCTCTGGCGGGCTACATCGTGACTCCCTGTGTTTTTCCTACCCAGAGTCCTCCTGGACTCCTAGTCCCATCTATCTTGCTTCTCTATTGGCCAACAGTGCGTTATTGACATATACACAGGACTTCCCCTGTGTGTATGTGGATGATTTTTCTGATGTGTTCTTGGATCTTATTTGCTAGTATTTTATTGAGTATTTTTGCATGGATGTTCATGAGGGAAACTGGTCTATAGTTCTCTTTCTTAGTTGTGTCTTTGTGTAGCTTGGGTAATTGTAGCCTCATAAAAAGTGTCTGGCAGTGAGCCTCCTGCTTCTATTGTGTGGAACACTTTGAGGAGTATTGGAATTAGCTCTTCTTTGAATTTCTGGTAGAATTCTGCAGTGAAGCCATCTGGGCCTGGGCTTTATCTGGTTGGAAGACTTTTGATGACTCCTTCTATTTTATTAATGTTTATAGGTATGTTTAGATTGTTTATCTGTTCTTGATTTAGTTTTGGCAAGTGATATCTATCTAGGAAATTTTCCATTTCCTTTAAATTTTCGAATTTTGTGGAGAACAGGTTTCAAAAGTATGCGCTGATGATTCTCTAGATTTCCTCAGTGTCAGTTGTTATGTCCCCTTTTCATTTCTGATCTTGTTAATTAGAGTGCTCTCTCTCTCTCTCTCTGCCTTTTGGCTAGTTTAGACAAAGGTTTGTCTATCTTGTTGATTTTATCAAAGAACCAACTCTAAAAAAAGAAATCGAAGGGAATACCAGAAAGTGGAAAGAACTTCCATGCTCTTGGATTGGTAGGATCAACATAATAAAAATGGCAATCTTGCCAAAAGCAATCTACACATTCAATGCAATCCCTATCAAAAGACAAGCACAATTCTTCACAGACCTTGAAAGAACATTAATAAACTTTATATGTAAAAGCAAAACACCAAGGATAGCCAAAACAACCCTATTCAATAAAGGAAGCATCACCATTCCTGACTTCAAGCTCTATTACAGAGCTACAGTCCTGAAAACAGTTTCATATTGGCACAAAAATAGACAGGTAGACCAATGGAATCAAATTGAAAACCCTGATTTTAACCCACACAACTATGAACACTTGATTTTTGACAAAGAAGCTAAAATTATACAAAGGAAAAAAGAAAGCATCTTCAAGAAATGGTGCTGGCATAACTGGACATTGGCATGCAGAAGACTGTAGATAGATCCATGTCTATCACCTTACACAAATCTTAAATCCAAATGGATCAAAGACATCAACATAAATCCAGACACTCTGAAACTCTTAGAAGACAAAATGGGAGATACTCTTCAATGAATTGGTACAGGAGACTGTTCCAGTAGCACAGACACTGAGATCGACAATTAGCAAATGGGACCTCCTGAAACTAAGAAGGTTTTGTAAGGCAAAGGACATAGTCAACAAGACAAAACGGCAGTCCACAGAATGGGAAAAGATATTCACTAACCCAATATCTGACAGAGGGCTGATCTCCAAATTTTACAAAGATCTCAAGAAGCACGTTTCCAAAACACCAAAGGATGCAATTGAATAGTGGGGTACAGAAATAGAGAATTTTCAATAGAGGAGTCTAAAATGGCTGAGAGACACTTTAGAAAGTGCTCAACATTCCTAGCCATCAGGGAAATGCAAATTAACACAACTCTGAGATACCATCTTACTCCTGTCAGAATGGCTAAAATAAAAAACACAATCTACAATTTATGCTGGAGAAGATGTGGAGAGTGGAGAACACTCCTACACTGCTGGTGGGAGTGCCAACTTGTACACCTACTTTCGAAATCAGTATGGAGATTCCTCAGGAAAATGGGAATCAATCTACCACAAGTCCAAGCAATTCCACTCTTAGGCATATATCCAAAAGATGCAAATTCATACAACAAGGACATCTGTTCCACTATGTTCATAGCATCGTTATTTTTAATAGACAGAACCTAGAAACAACCTAGATGCCCCTCAACTGAACAGTGGATAGAGAAAATGTAGTGCATTTACATAATGGAGTACTACTTAGTGGAAAAAATGGAATCTTGAAATTTGCAGGCAAATGGATGGTACTAGAAGAAACAATCCTGAGTGAGGTAGCCCAGTCACAAAAAGACAAACATGGTATGCACTCATATTTGGATTTTTAGACATTGATCAGAGGAGTGCCAGTCTGCAATTCCACCGTCAGAGAGTCTGGGAAACAGGAAAGAACCTAAGAGAGATATGCATGGTACCCCAGAGAAGAGGAATGAAGCAAGAACTCCTGAACAGATTGGGAACACACAGCATGGGGTGGTGGGTAATGGGAGCTGGGAAGAAGAGAGGCGGATAAGAGGAGGAGAGAGCAGGTCATGGGGGAACAGGAAGGTTGAGTTGTGGATAGAATAGGGGAAGAGCAGGGTGAGAAATATAATAGAGGGAGTCATAGTTTTAAGGAGAGATCTGGCACCATTGAGACCTCTAGCAATCTACAAGGGTGACACCCAGTGGCAAGCTAAGCAATAGTGGACAGACTATACTAAATGCCCATTCCTGATAATGAACTTGACGATTACCTTATATGCCATCCTAGAACCTTCATCCAGTGACTGACGGAAGCAGAGGCAAACACCCACAGTTAAACACTGAGCTGATTGCCTGGAACCCAGTGACAGAGAGAGAGGAGTGATAAGCAAATGGGCAAAGAATGAGCTGGCAAACAAGCAGAGACAGCTGGCCTGAACAAGGGGGAGCTCATGGACTCTAGACCTACAGCTAGGAGGCCAGCATGGGACTGATCCAGACCCCCTCTGCATGAGAGTCAGTGAGGAGACCTTGACAAACTATGGGCCCTGGGCAGTAGATCAGTGTTTATCCCTCCTGGCATACAAATGGACTTTGTGGATCCATAACACAAAGAGATATTCTCTCAGCCTAGACACTTGGGATAGGGCCTGGACTCTGCCCTGAGTGAAATGACATTCTGTGGATATCCCCTATGTGGAAGGAAGTGGGGATAGGATGTGAGGCTGGGGGGTATGGTGGGGGGTGCGGGAGGAGGGAAGGGAGAGGGAACTGATATTGACATGTAAAGCAAGCTCTTTTCTAAAACAATGTAATAAAAAATAAAAGAAAACAAAACAAAACAAAAAAAGAAACATGGAAACTCAAAACAAGTCTATGGTTGCATATGAAACATTAGCTGGAGATTTAACTTCACTAAATGAATATATTTAGACAGCATTAAATGAGCAATGAAAACTTAAATATCTTTTTTCACAGAAAACTTTCTAAATTGCCTATTATTAGTCAACATTCATAGTATACAATAAAAGTCAAAAACGTATTTCTCTTTCTTCCCACTTACATTTTGAATTGTCTATTATTCATGCAGTTGTATATTTTCCCCATAATTTAATTTTTGTTTCAGAGATTCTTTGAATGTGACTAAATATTATAATTACAAATCAAAAGGGATCGGCTTGTTAATTCTAATATTTGGGTTTTGCGTGTTTTAGAGTATCTACTTTGTTGGCTGAGCATGGTTCTCTGGGGTCTGGAGCCTACAGATCAGTGGGTGAATGGCTGGAAGCAATCAAGATGGGCCGGTACACAGAGATTTTCATGGAAAATGGATACAGTTCAATGGACGCTGTGGCTCAGGTGACCTTGGAGTGAGTAATTTTTCTGATCATTTTTACCTAACTTCTGGGGCAAGAAAAGTATATTCACACACCAGAGTGGATGCATTCGAGGGAAAACAGTTAAGCTATGTCTATATGTGGCAGATTTCAAAGAAGCCTCATCTTTTTTAGCCTGTATTGTTAACAGCTGCATGGTTCATGCTACTTGTGACCAGTATCTTCACTTCTTGTATACCAAGCAAACAGCATTTGAGTATTTGGATAATTGGAATTACAACTCCTTGGCAAAGTACTGGTACTTTGTGTTATGGAAAAAGATGTTTTCTTGATGAAGTTTTTATACTGGTACTTATGTTATATGAATGTAAATACAAAACAAACTGTAAGCACAATTGGTGGTTAGTCCTGTATAACAAAAGACAAACACAAAAACTGAAAGAACATCTTCCTAAATGACAACTTTCTGCAGTCAATACCCAGGGAATAGCTTAAACAAAGTTTCTCTGGCAGGAATCTCGTTTAATATCTACATGGTGCAACTTATATTCTTGAAGTCTGGCGATATGTTAGATCCTGCCTCCGATTTGCTGTTGTTTGGTACAATCTCAGTGGAACCAATTGTGCCCTTTTCTGTTTGCACGTTTAAGAGACAATTTATGAAATCCTATTAAATAAAAATTACTAGAGCTAAATATTAAATTCCTTAAGGTTGTAAGTCATTTGTACTTTATTATATACTCTTTATGTGTAATTGTTTTAGCCTAATTGTTATTTGTAAAAATTAATTGTTTTATTGTGGTTCCATCTAGATTACATCTAAATTAATAATGTTTTAACCTGTGAAGTCATGATAACTGACTTCAAATGACCTGCAAATTTAAAGCTTAAAATGTTGTTATAAGGATTTTAAAATGTTAGAATGCTCTAAGTCACTATACCACTGTCTGAACTTCATCCCTTCATGTAATATCGATACTGAACAGTTCTTAGATATCCCTATATATCCTTCTGACATCCTTGATTCATTGAATTCATTGCTCATCCCCACGAAAGGTAACAGGGTACCATTACTTACTATGGATTAATATCACAGTCCCAGCACTGTCTTCCTTCATACTGATAACTAAACATACATTACACTATAACCACTTGGCTTGCTTTCTTAGGTTACTTAATCCATTCTCACAGCTACTACTAAATCACATCTTGAAGACATGAATGTTTTACCCATTATTTCTTTGATGCTCAAGAAACTCATTTGTGCTATAGTTAAAAAAGTATACTAAAAAGTATTCCTGATGATTTAAACTATTTTTACATAATTACTATTTAATTTTTCAGTAAAAATGGTCATTTTAATTTATTAAAGTCATTTTGTCATTTTATATTAAAATGATACTGTAGGTATTTCTTCTACCCAATGTCAGATTACCTGTAAATACATAATAAAAGTATTTGCATTAAACAAAGTCTCTGTTTTTATTAAGAGAATATATGATCATACTTTTTTTTCTTTTTTATAGTGGTGTGAATGTTATCTTCTTCCTGTGAATTATTTTATTTCCTGGGGACATCACAATAGTAGAGCTATGAGTAGTGTAATATTATTGTAGCATGGTTTTACTTTTTCTTATTTCTTAAAATTCTTTCCTATTTATTTCTGTAACCTCTTAAACTCTGTTTAGTATTGTGAGGTAGTTTCTCACAACCTGAGCAACTCTTCTATCTCCTTATAATTGTTCCTTTCTTAAATTGCCTCTTTCAATTTACCTTTCAATTCGTTTACTGGAAAACAGAAAAGGAAAGACAAAGACTGTTAACTTATGTAAATTGCTTTGAATTCCTGGGATCCATAGTCTTTACCATAATCGTTACTGGGAATTTGGCATGCTAACTCTATCTCCAGACAAGCTGATTTTTTTGAGAGCTAGACATTATCAGGAGTAATTTCTGTTGTTTAGTGTGACTCTTTCTGACCACAGTGTTTCTACTTAGTAGACTTTGTTTATCAAAATATTATTTTAACTTAAATACAAAACAAGGACTCATCAGTTGCTTCCTTGATCACAGATTTAAAAAAAAGTAATTTGTCCAGTTTTTTCCTTAACAGAGGAAAAATAAAACTGTCCTATGCTGAGAAGTAACACTCCTAAAAATGGGGTCATCACAAATCAGGAACATCTCTGGAACACCCTGATATTACACTTGCATACCTAGTTATCACCCATTATCTAAATATTAATTGTATGAATCCTATGAAAGATTATAGTAACATAACACGATATTTTTCCTAGAAGCTAATAAGGGACTGACGTATTCATAGCTATGTAAATGTTTAGGAAAAAAATGTTACATCAACCAAAAAAGCAAATGCACAAAGTACTATACATTAAAGATGTGTTTTACTGATTGACAAATATGGGTGTATATTAAGTTTAGAAATATAACTAGGAAACAGTTCTTATAATTATAACTATTGGTTAAAAACTACCTTAATAATGGCTATTTTGGTTTTAAACTATTTGCCAGTACACATATGAAGAATAAAAATGAAGAGTTTGTGTGTTTTGAAGTAAGGCATATTCAATAAGAATAGCTTTTCTCAATCAATGCTATTATGTCTGTATACATCAATCATATTTAAATAATTGTTGGAGAAGAAATGGTAAGACTCTACTATCATGTACGAGTGCAGTGAGTTACTGTTGACAGGGGAAATTGTGAGCTGGAGGCAAGTGGTAAATTGAAGCCAAAGATTTCAAGTAGAGGCATAAACAAAGCTAATTTGTATATTTCTTTTCAGGCCAGTGCTGTAAAACCTTGGTTATTCGTAAAATGAGCAAAATTCAGTGAATTTAAATATTATAACATTTTTCTGTAAGCTGAATAGATTCCTGTAACAGTCATAAAGATGGTGTCTTAAGACACTAAAGCAACAGTTTCCTAAATCTGGAACCCAAATTTGTGCCGAATAACTCAAATAGCTTCATTAACCTGTGGCAAAAATCATTACACATAATTTAGTGTGTTCTCAAAGCACGCATAGGAGAGCTCCCTATTCTCTGTGGTCTATGTAATTAAGCTAATATTCTGAGTGTGTTTTTTTTAACAAGGTCTGAACTCTACAAAACGATTAATATTCTCTTGATAAAGATATTTACCTTGCACAGTATCTAATAAGTGACTATTCTTTTTTTTTAAATCCAGGAAATGTGACAGTATATAACTACATTATAAAACTGATTAAACCAAAATTTTATTAGGTTGAGTGAATATTCATTACTTTTTCATGTCCCTTCTACCAGCCAATTAGTGGTGATGTGGTTTAAGTCTACAAATAATGCTAAAACATATGAAAAGCACAACAGAAAATGAGCAAAGAGGTATATTTCTCCCTTTTTCTGTCCCCCCCCTCTCTCTCACACACACACACACACACACACACACACACACACACACATACACAATTGCATCGTATGATGAATAATGAAGAGGGTGGTTCCATATATGTCAGGTACTTTTTATTCTTTAGCTTATTCTGCTACTTCAGCATCACAGTATATTAAGAATAATATTCATTACTTTTTATCATGAAATAATTTCTGAAAAGATGTTGAAATGTAATCCCAGCAACAGAACCACATTACATACAGATCTAAAACATGTAATGTCTTGTCAACATAATTTAGTCTTCTATGTTCTCATCATTGTTGGCTATGCAAGCTTATGGGTGATATATCAGCACTAAAAACAGCCTCAAGTATTATTGAGATTACAGGTGGTCATAATGCAATTAGTGTAATGTTTATAAAGTGGATACATATAAAACTATGAAGGCATGACATGTCTTAGATGCACAGTAAAATACAAGAATAAAAGCTATATCCATCACCATAGAAATTGTTTCTTTCTAAAATTCACTGTACAGGAGTGAATTCATGTCATTGTCACAGACAATGTAACTAGAGTTATGAATCTATTCACTTTGTACATGTAGGAGACAGTACAATAGAAACTGTTGTATTTGGGAGATTGCTTACTGGGTAAAGTACTTTCTGAGCTATCATAAATTCAAATAGCTAAGATCCACTTAAAAGCCAGGTATGGCATAATGTACTTTTAAAGCCATTTCTTGGGGTCAAAGACAGACTAATCCCAGAGTACTCACTGATCAGTCTATCTACAGCAGCAAGTTGTAGGTTCAGTGGTGGACCCTGTTTCAGTAAATGAATGAATAAATGGATGTGAATAAGTTAGAGAGGCAGTTTAGGAAGACACACAGATATCAGCAGATTCTGGTATCCTCATATGTCTACACAGTTGAGCCCTCGCATGCATACACCACATATACAAGCACAGGAATACATGTGTATAGGTGTGCACACATTCACATATGCATGTAAGTATTCCCAAAGGAAAACACACATAAAAGAAACTTTTGAAAATATCCGAATGTGTGAGATGAAAATACTTACAATGTTTTAATGCACTTGACAGAATTAGAAGATAGATATTCAAGTTTCAGATAATTTTATATTGTACCAACCTAAATCTCCAAGACATTGTCTGAGGAAAGTTACAAAAATACTTATTCTCAGCCGGATAGTGGTGGCACATGCCTTTAATCCCAGCACTCAGGAGGCAGAGGCAGGCGGATCTCTGTGAGTTTGAGGCTGGACCTACAGCCTCCAAAACAATACAGAGAAACCCTGTCTCGTAAAACCAAAAAAAAAATATTTGTTCTCTCTCATTTCCACTTAAAAGGATATTATGGATATTTCTATGATAAGCATAAAAGTATACTGATTTTTCTCTGTATATCACTTTTATAGCTCCTAAAGTAACAAATCAGATTTAAACAAATACCTCAGAATTGTATAAAAATGTACACCATTTATAAAAATGTTTAAGATGTAATGCTTCATTTTTGTAGTTTTCTTTTTCTTTTTTTTATTTAAGTTAGAAACAAGCTTGTTTCACATGGCAAGCCCAGCTTCCTCACCCTCCTCTCCTCGCCTGCCCTCCCCACCAGGTCCCCCAGTACCCTACCCAATCTCCACTCTGATCCCCAGGAAGGGTGTAGCTCTCCACGGTGGATCTCCAGAGTCTGTCATTTCATCCAGGGTAGGGATTTTTCTTATAGAAAAAAAGAAATAAGAGGAAGTAGTTAAGAGGAAGAGAGAGGACAAAAGATGATGAGAGAAAAGTTCATTGTTCTGGCCATATACCAGTGTGTGCAGGGAACATCAGAAAATAAGCTGATACTGAAAAGTTATTTTATGTGTTTTTAACTAAAAAGATTCGGACAAATATAACTTAAAATCTGTGTGAAAGTTTCTTCTTTTTTTTTTTTTTTTTTTTGGTTTTTCGAGACAGGGTTTCTCTGTGGTTTTGGAAGCTGTCCTGGAACTCACTTTGTAGACCAGGCTGGCCTCGAACTCACAGAGATCCTCCTGCCTCTGCCTCCTGAGTGCTGGGATTAAACGCGTGCGCCACCAACACCCGGCTGTGTGAAAGCTTCTAGTCAAGTATTTTGGTATATAACTTTAATTCAATTATTTAAGAAGAGAAATTAAATTTGACCCCATAAACACAAACTATGTTCCTGTATTTAGTAATCAAATTCAATTCTTCAAAACATTCCTTTTTAACATAACAAACTCAGTATACCAACTGTTTAGATCCTTTTGTGATTAGTTAATTTTTGGAGAAATAAATTATAATCACAGCAGCATTAGCAAAGCTACACATATAAAAACATAAGTCAAACTAATGATTCAATGTCATTGTAGCCAAGAGTCAGAATGTGGCACAAACGTACATGCAACTCAAAGTGTTACACGGGAGAAGTCCAAAGTAGAAGCCAGTAGTTCTGGGGTTTTAAGTCAGTAAGAGAAAATGTCATAGTTATTCTTTAAAAGTTATTTCTAATGATTACATGAGTAAATATGAAGTATGTAACTTAAATATATATGTTACTTAAATAAGGAGATGGCCTCAGGACTTAGAAGTATCACTTAGGTTTTTACAGTGCATATGACAAACATCCATTTTAAAGTATAAGTTCTTATCTCAGTTTATTTTTTAAGTTATATTTTGATTATTTCTGAGCTCAAAATTTAGTCCTTTTGATCCTGTCTGTGCTCTATACTTTGCTAGTAACCACTCATAAATATTCACTTTACACAATTTTTTATGAAACATATAGAATGATCAGAATTGCCCAAAAATGGGAACTATGTTGAAATGTAGATTTATGATACAAGTTTATTCAAAACAACAACAAAACTTTCTGTTCTTTTGGTTATTTTCCATATTCAATTATGTATTTGTTGTTCCCTTTTTTTAAACCAGAGATTATTTTTGTATTTAATGTGATTTTTTTCAAAATCAGCCATAAAAATGATGAGAAATTAAAGTGTGGGTTTCAAAGTTTGGTGTCTGGTTTTAGTTATACCTCAGTTGCCTACTGATGTGTTGTGCAGCTGAATGATTTATATTTCCCAAATCTGTGGCTCTTTATCCATAAAGTAAAAAAATTTTAAATATTGTGTTGCCAATAAAAACTTTTCTAGTACTGAGAAACTTGATGATTAGTAAGTATTATTGGGTATTCTAACATTTAAGGATGTGCTTTTCAGTATGGTGAGTGTTTCCATTAGAAATTCATTACTGTTGGAAGAATTTTGTCCCTATAATCATGAAGTGTCTCTCATTATCATCTAATATCTTCAGCAGAAGTCAAGAAGGCTGTTAAGAAACCTACAATAAATAGAGTAGCCCTCTAATGGCATAGACTGCTCTAGCCAATGATAAGCCTGAGGATGCCAGTTTATTTGAAAAGAAAGACAACCAAATGTTTTATTTGTACTTTAATCTTCAATTAACTATTACTGTGATAACAATAGAGACTTTGTTTCCAAGTAGATTGTTACTGAATCTATGGTTTGTTGATGATTCTCTTGCAAACCATATCAGCATTTATTATTTTTATATTGTTTGCTGAGATTCTGTAGTTAATGTTTAGTACTTACATTGTAAGAAAGAAATATATGACTGTCATGAGTACCAATAGTGTTTCGGTTGTTTCTCATTTTCTGAAACTCTCATAAGAAATCCAGAAACCATAAAGAAGCTAAGAAGTATGATGTTATCTGAGTAGAAAAATCATTCCCGGGCTGATGAGGTTGGAGCCAAGGAGCTCAGCCTTTTTGATAAGAGATATCTTTATGTTACCTGAGATTACTTTATTTTACCTATCACGATCTTGCCATTGTCGTCAATCCCATCTCATAGCTAAGAAAATTTAAATTGAGACACTGAGTGCAAAAATAATGGAAATTATTAGACTAATGCTTTTAGCAAGGTGACTTCCTAAAGAATTTTAATATGCCACACATATTTGTCAGTTACAATTATGAGGTGTGTTAATTTTCATTTGAATTAGTTAATATGATTTTCCAAATATGTGGATTGATTGTATTCTTCCAAACATCCTTTCATGGAATGATTTCCTTTGAAAGTCAATAAAATAGCATTTAGAATGTATATGCTTGTTTTTTTCAGCTCTATAAGATATTTTGAGCTTAGAAAAATAACAGTTTAAGATTTCTTTTGAATAATCAGATTATTTTTGCAACACAGGAAAAGAATCAAGGGTGAAGCTATTTTGAAAGTGTATAGTCTTCACATTTCTCTAAATGTCAAAAGAAATCAAAAGCTGGTGTGTGATTTTTGTGAATGATAAAACTTTGGCACTTTGAATCCAAAGTAACAAATGACAGAAAACATTGTTATAAAGGCACTGCTATAATGTTTATTATGTAAAGCTGCCTCTTATGTATGATGACTGCATGAGATAAATGAGACTCTTAAAGAGATCAGTCTTTCACTGATAAGGTGTAATACTTTAAGTTACAGTTCATACTTCTTTTAGCAAAAATACTGTTTGATGCTGTTTTAGGGTAACATTTCAATACTGTTCAATGCAACTATAGCCATGGATTTTAAAATTTATTGGTAAGATATAAACATTCATTTTTCACCACTATGTACCATTTAAATTATGGTTTTCACCCACAGGAATAAATGTGAACATGTTATTTGACTATCTAAACTTGTCACCATTTTGTGACTAACTCCTGCAAAACATTTCCCCCCTTTGCCAGCGTGAAATATTGAGGTGTGCTACAAACTGAATCAATACATACATCCAACGTGTGCTTTCTTCATGCAGGGATTTGAGGCGCCTGGGAGTGACTCTGGTCGGGCACCAGAAGAAGATCATGAACAGCCTTCAAGAGATGAAGGTGCAGCTGGTAAATGGGATGGTGCCAGTGTAACCCCCACAGGTGTCACTTCTTCAAGTGAACAGCTCTGCACTTTGTAAACAGCCCTGAGATTTATTTTAACAATTGTAGGGGAAAAGGGAAAGGATTGGTTTTGAAACCTTTTGAGGCATTTGTCTCACCACTGAATTTGTAATCAATGTTTTACTAAAATCTCCAGATCTTCCTCTTGGTGTCTTCATTTTTTCATGAAACAAATGGAAACAAAAGTGAAAACATGAGGATAAACATCCTATAGTAAAATGTTAAATAAATCCTGCCCAATTACGTCCACAGAATCATGTACATGAAATATATAAAGACACATCATCTTTATAGACTGTTAAGGCAACCACTTTCAAAACTTGCAGGGATCTACTTGAAAGGAAAACTTTGAAGCCATGTGTGGGCTAAGAAAAGCTGCATTTCATTGACATTTACTTCAAGTCTTAACTGTCTACATGAGTGTATTGAAGAGCAATATGATTAGATTACTCCTTAAAAACAGTTTGTAATTTAAAATGCAATTATATGTTGTTAAATTATAGAAAATAGTATATAAACATGTTGCTTGGTCAAGAAAAAGTTCAATGCAGGGTGGATATTTATTTTTCTGTGTATATAATTTACTTGTAGTTGCTCTTCTACAGACTATTGAGTAATGAATGTTTATACACTGTATAGTTTGCAATATGCCAGGAACTGACTAAACTTGTACTTGTGTGTGTGTGTGTGTGTGTGTGTGTGTGTGTGTGTAATACAATATTGTTCTGCTTGCACTTTTGATGGTGTTTTAATTTTGGCAGCGTACAGGAAAGGGTATTATAGAGTGTAATATGAATATGAGAAATAGGAATCCATAGACCAAAATCCATCTCAAGTTGATGTCTCTTTCTCTCATTTTGAAAGCAACTCATTAGTTTATTTAGAGAGCTCATGTGTCTAAGATGAAATTCCCTTTGGATTTTTGCAAACACTTCCTACTATTTCTGACAAAGCATTTCCATCCATTAATCTTACACCCTTCTCTGAAATTCAACCTTCTAAGTTCCATAGTTTCTAGAGCCAAGATGACACAAAGGGCACATTAGTGTGGGATGGAGAGAGATTTCAGTGTTCCGGCTTCTGTTGGTTTCCAGGCAGAGGGCACTCAACATCTCCCCTTATGCTCATCATTTTAATCACTCCCATTGTCACTCATTTATAAAAGTTTGATACTAAGATAGCAGTAAAAAAAAACGAAGAAAAAATTTTTATTCAGAATTTTGTTTCCATTTTTTCATTAATAACTTATTATTAACTTATTTACATTTTGTCCCTCATTAAATAACATCAATTCTACTTTGAAGAACCAATGTAAAATATTTAAAAATTAGACTTGTTAAGTAATATAAGACAGTCCTTCAGTATGTTCTACAGACTACACCAGCAAAAAGTTGTCATTTGGGGTAGGTTTCATGAACTTTACTGAAATGTTCAAAAAAGTGAGAGTGACAGTCACCTAAGCAATATTTTACGTTGATGTGCTTAAAAAACCAGGCGAATGGTATGTGATATTTAAGGAGCAGAGAACTTAAAGTACTTTCAGTGCTACATTGGTTAAAGCACGTGAGAGAGGTGAGACCTGCAGGAAAGAGGTCAGTGTTTTTGTGAGTGGTAGTCCTTGCTCTTGCAAACTTATGTTTCATTACAATATTAACCCATACAGAAAAGCAATTGGGGAAAAGGCTTCCTTCCATCCTTCCTTCCTTCCTTCCTTCCTTCCTTCCCTCCTTCTTTCTTTCCTTCCCCATCCATTTTAAATGGATGAAATATCTTTTTGCTAAAGAAATAAGGAGAGATCAAAACAATAACAAAGGGTGTGACCCACTGTATACCCACATTATATTCAAGAAATCACTATTGGTTTAGTGACATTTACAGACAATATTGAGATAAGTAGCTTAATATTGTCTTGTTAAAAGTGACAGATATCATCTTTACAAAAGATGCATTTATATGTTTAAACAAATAGAAAATCGTTAAAACTAATTTCCATCATACAAAATAATTGAAAGTTTTAGTATACTCTATTCAATTTTGAAAATTTATTTGAATCTAAGTGATAAAGTCATTTTGAGAACTTCATAACAAAAAATGGTTTAAAAAAGCATGTTTTTGGACTTGTACAGGCCACAGCTATATGGTCCTAAAAACAATATATTCTAAATTGTTTTCTAAATTTGTATGTTCAGAGATTATTTGTGGGTCACTAATACATAAATGGCTGGCTGGCGGAGCGATGGTTTCAAATTTCTCACAACAGAATAAAAATTAATTTGAGTCAAATTTATTTTTCCCTTTGCAATTCAAGTATTACATTGGGAAAGTAATTCAGAAAGAAATCGTAATAGCCACACGGCTTTTTTCCATATCTCAATTTGATTGAGAGTTTCTAAAGAATGTCAATCTGATTTTAGAAGAAATAGACTTTTACATTATACGTGCATTGCCTCCCAAAGAGGAAAGAATGACTTTCTAAAACATTTGTCCACCATTGAATGTGTCACCAATTGAAAAGTGCCAATCTCATCTATAAATGTGAGAAGTGGAAGAGGGAGAAGACCCTGCTCTCGTGAAATGTACTGAGTCTGCCACTCAGCACTAGACTTGGTAAATTCTGAAGGTGTGAATCTTTTCCTGTGGATTTATTTCTGTACCCAATGACTTTGCAAAATAAAGTCCAGATTCCTTAATCTTCACACACTCAACTGATTTGTAAAGTGATATGTAGTTGTACTGTGAGAGGGTGTAACAGGGAATTGCTCTGAACAGACTGCTTCTGTTTAAAGTCATTTACTCACTATGTTTATCAATCATAATTTATATCAAGCCATGCCGTTCACTAGTATGCGATCTGACGAAAATCGCTGTCTCTGAAAAGTATTAATTATATATAAAATGTAAAGATACTGATCTTCAACATTTAAAAACTGTAATGTGCATGTTTTTAGTCCCTGTGTTTTATTAAGCAACCCAGTATTCTAAAGTAATAGAATCATTGTACAACTTACATAGACATATTTTATTAAAACTTAAATGTGTCTACAATTATTCATTTTGGAATTGTCACAAATAATGCAAAACATCCTTAGCTGTGTTTATAAAAAAATTTCTAACCACTATGTAATAAAACAGATAAAACTTGCACATCTCATGTAAAAGTGGAGCTGTTGCTGTCGGTTGAGCACTTAGGCATTTGCATGTCTGCTTTTGGAATTCTACGTGGAAGTGAAAGGCTGTAATGAAGATGTTTGTTTGTCTGTTTAAGTGGGTTTTCAGAAGCACAATGAGAAATGTTTGCCATTGGAAGGTGTTTTGGCTGTAATGGTATACTAGGTGGCAAAGAGAGCCAGGCATTAGTGATTTAGTAGGTATGTGATGTTCCATAGTAGAAAATACCACTTTCTCATTTCTTTCTTTCTAAAAATTAGGAGGGAGAATTAAATATGATAATAAATAGTCTTTGTTTAAACTTTGCCAGATGTTTAACCTCAGTCTAAATAAGAAGTAGAGACAATACGATGGCGATGGTGATACTAAAGACCCAATGAACAGAATCATAATGGTAGCTTTATTTAAAACTTGATAGCTTGAATAAGTCATCATTTTTTTCAATACTAGAGCACAGCTGGTTACACTGAATACTTTAACTCCATTATGCTGTTAATTATATAGTAAACTATCAGGAAAGAAATAGATAAGAACTGTCTTTCAGTTCTTATTAATTTATGAGTCATTTCATGCATCAATTGTTGAATGTTCTTATTGAGAATGGCCATGTAATTGTCACTTAGAAAAAGCTGCTATTCTTTTTTAAATGTCTGTTTATAATAACCGGACTCAAGTTCATTTTTTCGATGGTTTTGGAAAAAGTAAAGTTGGTAAATATGTCCCATCATTTTAGGCTGGGTGCTATAGTCACTTAAGTTGGAGTTGTCAAATATTTGTGAATATTCTGACTACTGTAGCCTTGCAATTAATTATTTAAAAATATATATATATATACAATGCATTTCTAAAGGTCTGAGACTAAAGTCAGACACTGTCCTTTGTTAATATGTTTATCAAAATCACTTAGTTTAAGACAGGTGAGAGGCATGTGTGTAGCCTATTCGATTCTTCAGTAGGCATCAGGCTATCTTGTGTCCCTGCCTCACAGAGAATTCTAAGAAGGCTGAGCATTTTTGTATTGGTTCCCATCTTCATCTCTGTGTGCTTTCACTTTGTGTACATGTTTTTGTAGTGTAAGATATTAAATTTTATATTTTTTCAGAAAATAAAACCCTTTGAATATAGTAAAATCTGATTGTCCTACGTGATCTCTTCTAAGTTTTCTAATTTATTGCATTTTACATAGGAGTTTTATTCTGATTTTTTTATCTTCTAAGTTATGAACATAAAAAGAGGATCACATACCTATTCCACAAAAACTAAGATTGTAGAACCTACATTCTTGCTAACAATATAATACAGAATGCACTTGAGGAGAACAGTAAAACAAAACAATAGAAAACAACAAAATAATGGAAAATTATATGCTATTTGTAACATCTACAAAAGGGGCCTTTTTTGTAAATGACATCATCCTGAGACCACCTTATCACTAGGCATCTCTGTATCACATTGCAAGAAGAGAAATTTGCTATAAGAAGGAGATTAAGAAGAAAGGCTCCTTATTTCTGTAGTATTATATCACAGTGATATTTTAAAATGGCAAGCAATATCTCTATTCAATGGATAAATCATGTATGTGGTTGGTACATTTTCACCACAGAAAAAAACATACTATGCTTATAGACTAATCACAAGAAAGACCAATGTATAACATTCCCTATAATTAGGATTTTGTTTACTATTTCAATATTAATTCTTATATGTTACTCAGAGTGGCTTGACATTTAGACTTATCATGTTCTTAATGTGCAGTAGAAGTAAAGATCCTATTTAAAAACAATTTTCCCTATCATATATTTACTATTGACAAAATTGGAGTAATGTGGTATCAAATGTTCAATGAAGAAGAAATTGTGCAGTGGAAATTTTTGTTTATCTTTGAGATGCATATTATTGACTCTCTGAACTAATGAGAGAATTGGGGATCACTGAGGAAAAATAAATTTTATATTTCCACAGTATATAATTAAAGTTATCCTAGTTCTAGTTATTCCATAAGCATATCTAAGTATCAGTCTCAGCAGCATATTTTTAATTTATTTTCTTTTGAAACAACTTACAAATTTCTATTTATTTGTTTGCATAATCTATTAAGTGTATCTTTTCCTCCCTTTGGAATAGCATTACATAAAAGCAGAAATTAGGTACTTGGAACCTTTTTAGATACTGTTTCATTGTTATATAACTACAGTTTTTGCCAAAGCACACATATCCAAAATGTATTTGATAGAGGAAAGACAGAACAATCTATCAGTTCACAACATGGAATAAGACACAAATAAATAATAGCCTTTTAATTAGTCTTCTGTGGAATGCCAATTCCTAACAACTTTTAACATTTATTCATGGTGGATGGCATGCAAAAAAAAAAAAACGTTTTAAAAGGTCTGGGTCAATTTTCACACTATCTGGATTACCTTGCTATAATTTTCCATTGCCTTTAATCACAGGTCATGTTAACACTGAGATATGCATTAAAGGATCTACATTTCAGACGTAATCTCTTTACGTCCATTGTGTAGAAGTTGTTCAACTTCCTCCAGGTTGTCTGGATCAATCACCTCTTCTAGCAGTATCTTTACTTTCTAAGTCTGTTCACTTAAGGGTATCAGAAGACCAAAGTATCCAGAGGAAAGATTTGGCTTCCAGTTTAATAGGTTTATTGTGTCTTTTGGAAGAAGTATTCCTCTTCCCAGCCAAAACTTGTACACCAACAAAGCACAACATTGCAGTAACACAAACCAAAATAATTCCTGTCACTGAGGATGGCCATAAATAGAAATGTTCCATTACCACCTCTTGCCTCTTGATTTCTGGACCTTATAATTCCTGGTTGTAGAAGAAACATGCCCACATGTTGGATGCATATTCAAAGCATGTTCCACCTTCTGGAGAACCCTTATCCACTACCCTTCAGGGTTGTGGGATATTTTTACAATTTGTGCAGGTACAGTGCTGTGATTGATGTAATAAACAGCCAAACAGCCTAAAGCACAAGATATAGGCAAGTCTTCCACGCAGAGAGAAGTAAGAGGAGAAACCTAGGCACTCTGAGTGAGTCGCAAATCAAATGCAGAGGAAGCAGGAGGAGAGGTAAAGTCATGAGCCAAGTAGCAGCATGTGGATTTATAGAAATAGATTAAAGTTATAAGAGCTGGTTAGCAATAAGTCTGAGCTGAAGCTGAGCTTTTATAATTAATAAGAAGTCTCCACATCACTATCTAGAATCTGACAGTCTCAATGAGAAAGTTTATCTATTCTCCAGACTATTGTTAATTAATTGGCACTTTGAAATTCCATCCCATTGTTCTATCAAGCCAACTGTGTTAGGATGGTGGGAAAAATGGTAAAAACAGAATTTCACAGGCATGGGCCCACTGTGAAGTAAGTTCCTCGGTTAGAAAAAATTCTGTGTGGAATGCCACAACCACATATAAGGCATTAAGTCCATGGGTTGGGTAGTAACCTTAGAATAAGCATTAGGCAAAACAAAGGAAAATTCATAACCACAATAAGTATTTCAGTAAGGACAAAATACTGTCTTTATCACAATAGAAGTAGTCCAATACAGTCAACCTGCTACCAGGTCACTCCTACAGATGGTAATATATTGGGATCTCAGTTTTGGATTTGGATGTTGACATATTGGCATAAAGTAGCATATGGAGCAAGATCATCCTTGGTGAGTGGAATGTGAGTGTACATTTGAGCCAATGTACACCCTCTATTTTTACCACGCCCTCCATTTTTACCAACATTGGCCCATTATTTTTATGGGCCCACCAGACGAAAGGAATGGAAGAGGAAAGAAGTTGATTGTCCACAGGAATAGGTTCTCTCCTTCCACTGTGTGAATCTTGTGGATCAAATTCTGCTCCTTAGGCTTCTTAGCTAGTGTCTTTGCCTAGCAAACTATCTCAGCAGACCACTATTACATTATTTCTTACTAGGCCACGTTAAACAAGATATCAGAAACCACTGAGGGTCAAGCCCATGCTAAACAATGCCAATGTATATGTTAAAAATTATATTGTGTTGTGGCATTAGTGAATGAACTAGTGCAGACTGATTTTGACCACTAAATGAAGAATTATGTTCTCTTCTCCTCACTAAAATTTTTTTGAAACTTGGTTTTTTATTATTGAATAGTTTTATTCATTTTACATGCAAATCACAGTTCTTCATCTCTCCCTTCCTTTCTCTTCATCCACATCTAACCCCAAACTACCTCCCATTCATGCCTGAGAAAAGGTAGGGAGTCAACGAAGTCTGGCATGTCCAGTTGAGGCAGGACCAAAACCCTCCCTCCTGCATTGAAGTTGAGTAGAGCATCCCATCATTTGGAATAGGCTCCACAAAACCAGCTCACGCACAAGGGATAGATCCTGGTCCCACTGCCAGGCGTGCCACAAACAGACCAAGCTACTCAAATGCTACCTACATGTGACCTAGTTTGATCCCATTCAGGCTCCTCAGCTGTTGGTCTAGAGTCAGTGAGCTCAGCTGTCTCTGTGGATTTCTCCATCTTGTTTCTTACTCCCTCTCCTTCCCCCTCCTCTGTCCCCACCCTTCTCCCTCTCTTCAACTAGACATCTGGATGTCAGCTTGGAGGCTGGCTGTGGATCTCTTCATCTGCCTCCATCAGTTACTGGATGGAGATTCTATTATGACAGGGTAGTCACCAATCTGATTATAGGGAAAAGCTAGTTCAGGTACCCTCTCTACTATTGCTAGGAGTCTTATTTTGGGTCATCCTTGTGGATTCATGGGAATTTCCCCAGCACTAGGTTTCTCCCTATCCCCATAATTTCTCCCACTTTCAATATATCTCTTTCATTGCTTCCCCACCGCATTCCTCCCCAAACTTGCCTGTCCCATTCCCTCATGTTTTCAATGGCCATCCCCTCCCCTTTACTGCACACCCTGCACCCTAGTTTACCCAGGAGATCTCACCTATCACCCCTTCCCAGGATATCAGGGAAATGCAAATCAAAACAAGTCTGTGATACCATCTTACATGTGTCAGAATGGCTGAGATCAAAAACACTCCTCCATCACTGATGGTAGTGCACTCTTCTATAGTCACTTTGGAAATCTTTATAGCAATCAATCGACCTCAAGACCCAACAATACCACTCTTGGACATATACACAAGGGATGCTCATACCACAAGGACACTTTCTCAACTATGTTCATAGCAGTGTCAGTTGCAATAGCCAGAACCTGGAAACAACCTAGATGCCCCTCAACCAAAGGAGAGATCATTTGTTACATTTACAAAATGGACTATTACTCTTCTGTAAAAAACAATGACATCATAAAATTTGCAGGCAAATGGATGGAACTATAAAAAAATCATCCTGAGTGAGGTAACCCACACTCAGAAAGAGAAACACGGAATATACTCACTCATAAGTGAGTACTAGATATAAAGCAAATGATAACCAAACCACAGTACACAGCTTCAGAGAAACTAGGTAACAAGGAAGACCCTGAGAGGGACACATGAACCTATTTTTGATCAAATTATCTCTCCAGTGATGGTATTATGTGTCAAGAAATTTCAAGAGATACACACTCTTCATATAGAAGATTCTAGCTAATCTAAATTAGATTCAGACATAGAAGACAGTGGAAGGCCATGGGACGCTTCAAAGTGTTTATGGCTTTCTCTCTAATGATCCCTGTAAGTACCATGCATCAGTACAACTTAACTGCTAGGTTTTAGTCAAAGTACAATACATATAATGTGGTCTGGTGAGGAAAGAACACTAAGACTCTGCAATCAATTTCTGAGGAAGAACAAGTACGAAACAGAGTGAAAGGGGGAAGTTTTTTCAAGCTATTTTTCTAAAAAGGTGGGATTTCTGGGGGATACTTTTCTGTGAATGCCACAGAAAGATAAGAAGGAAATAGGAAATTACTGACCTTTGCTTATTTAAAGATTACTATTTTCATTTTTCAGGATTCAATACCTACCTCCCAAGAAAGCACTATCAGCAGAGTAAGATATACTAATGAAATTGGTGCAGAGAGCTAAGCAAAGTACAGGGTTTTAGGGTCCAGATGGCAAGGTCATCTATAGACGGTTTACATTCTGGAGTTGAACTCTACAATGTGATAGTCC